TGCTTCAAAAACTATAGGCAGTAAATCGAAAATTGTGAAAAGTAGAGTTACACTCTTTGAGTTACTTGCCATTTAGTTATTTTTCAAAGCACACTTTAGTTACATATTACATATGAAGTGTACACCTACGTACTGATTGCACATAAAATTTTAATCCAGTATATGGTGTGCTTCAAAAGTTATGACATAATTTATTTTTTACCTCTTTAAAATTATATAAAAAATTAACTTGTTTTTAATATGTTTTTGAATTAAAACATCTATAACTCAAAAGTTATGCAAAAAATTGATTCAAAATTATTTGAGCCGTCAAGTATAAGTTATCCAAAAGCAACCAGCTTTATATAGTTTACAACAATGAAAATAAAGCTAAATATCACAAAGGTTAAATTTTTTTGGATTTGCCCATAAAGTAAATTCTTTATTTATCACACAAAATTTATTCCGAATCATATTCGTCATCATCTTTAGCTTGAGCTTCACCAAAACCTAATGAAATTGGTGTGTCTGGAAGCACAAACTAATGCTTCGATATAAATTGGTTTTTGATTATTTTTAAAAATATTTTTGCTCAAGTTTATCAATACATTAGAGGTTAAAAGTAAACGACTCATCACATTTTCGTTGCAATCCTTTCTTGAAAATTGTCTTGAAAAGTTTTGTCAATATTGCCGGAGGTGCTTGTTTCGTGCCTCCTCTGGTAGATCGGGAGAAGTCCGTTAGTTCTATCGTTATGCATTACATTTTTTCCCCAAAAACCCTTCCTCCTTTTAACTTGCCCATACCCACTACATTTGGTACCAGGGATGGGATTTCAAAATTTCAAAATGTGCCTAATGGTCTTCGAAAATAGTGCCGAAAAGAAGATGAAAGTTCCACAAAATTAAATTTCTTTTCAGGCATTTTAAGAACTATATATTTTTAAAAATAATATTTTTAAAATACGCTGAAGTAATATAATAATTATTAATTAACTAAATTATTACAGCAAATCACTTTTATGAAGGATTCCTTAGACATATACATAAATTCAATGTAAAATTAAACAGAGTTCCAATTACGGAGGGGAAATCCACCGAAATATAGCTATTCTGAAATTTTGTACACATACATATATATGTAGTACCTATATACAAAATAATGGCAGTGAGATTTTGACTAGTTTCGCCTATTCTTTTCATTGATTATTTTTCTAATTCATAATTTAATAAGCACACTATATGTACACAAATCGGCATTTCAAATTTGTACAAAAATTAAAAAAATTCAGCAGGTTTTCGCAACAACAAAATTTGAACTCAGAATTTTTAAGGAGATTCTAAGTTTTCGATTTTTTGAATTTGTTTCATATAAAGTGTGTTCGAATATTTTTTAAATGGATGAAAATGTATAACACCGTCAGAAAAAGATATCAAAAATCATCGGGAAATTGCAGAAACTTTCACTTTTATTTAATGTACTATAAAACTGCAAACTTAGAATCGTTCCAATAATTCTGAATTAAAAGCTTGTGTTGCGAAAACTTACTTTTCGTACTGCGTATTCATAATAGAATTCAGCGGGTTGTAAATATTTCTCGCGGCCCTTATTTTAAATTTTTAGTGCTTTTAATTTTCACTTTTTGTAATTTTTTAATCTGAAACGTGGTATATGATTTTTTGTTATATATTGGCATTTTATGCTAAATTTCTATATTTTATGATTGTGCCAAAACAGGATGAATTGTGCCAAATGTGCCTCTGAGAATGAAAGTGCCCAAAATGGCACTACTGTGCCTACTTTTCCATCACTGTTTGGTACTGATGTTTAAACGGTTTTAAACTATTATGAAGTAAGGAAATTCGCTCTTTGAGATACTAATTTTTCTGCAAGAATCTCGATTTCCTCTTCTTTTTTACTTTTGAATTGTTGGATAATATTGAATAACGCGTCCCTTGTCAACCTTATTGATGACCGCATATTAGTTGCGTTCCTTATTTCTTGGAGAGAAATAGTCAGAAAAGTCCGAAGTAGTCAGATTTAGTCCAAAAAGCGTTCCTTAACTCGAAAATTACAGCAAAAATGAGAGAGCAACACTCAGTGAGAGTGACTCTTTTCAGTCCGAAGTAGTCAGATTTTGTCAGAAGAATTTTTGCTGGCAAAATCTTGAAAAGTGTCAAACTCAACTGAATTTAAATTAACGGAAATTAAAGAATACGCAAAAAGTAAGAATAATCTAAAAAGTGAAAAAAGTGAATTGAAATTGGAAGTAGGCAAAAAATAATTCATATAGTAAGTGTTTATTGTGCTTGTGCTTGTGTGAATGTGTTTTGTACATACATTTCCATTCTTATTTGACGTTAGTTTTGTTGTTGCCATTCTTTGGACTAAAAATTTGGTTTTTTGTGTTCCTTTACCTTTTCCTGTTATTCTCTTTTAGTGAGCGCATTTTGCTTACGCTCTGGCATTTTGACACTTTTCAGATTTTAGTCCAAAAAGATAAGGAATGAACCTATTATATCCTGAGAACAAACAAAAAAAGACTTACTTGTGTTAGTTTCGAAAGTTTTAAATAACGATTAAAAAGGGGTACGAGAAGAGGCGGCCGATTTTTTTTACAGATATACATATTAAGTAAAACGTCTGTGGAATATGCCGATATATAAAACTTAACTTAACTCGACTTAACACACACCTATAATTATCATGAAAAATAAAATAACGATGCGAATCAAGGTTAAACGATCAAAACGATTTTTTTTTTGTTAAATAGCATGTATTAAATAAAGTATCCATGAATCCATGAAAGCTTTGGCAGTTTGCACTTAACTCAACTTTAAAGCTTTAAGCAAGATTATGAAATTCTTTATCACATCAGACAAGTTTGAACTAGTGTGACAGGCGGTCCGAAGGTACCCCCGAGATATAACTTCATAGTCTGATGTGGAGGGTTTCCTACTTCCCAAAAAACACTCAAATAAACTTTATCATGAATTTCGTAATTTGGACTTTTGTCCAGCTTTTAGAGTCACATACCCCTATGTGTGCCGTTAGCCGAATGGTTAAATAATCTAAAAAAAGAATCTAGCTGTCGCCCACTGTCAGGAAATAGAAAGCCTCCGAATGCATTTCTGCTATGAAAGAGCTTCTCATCAACCACTGTCCGTTCGATGACGGTGTAAAACTGTAAATCCCTCAATTTCTGTAATAACGTTAAGACATATAAATTATTTTTTATGGCCATTTCAAAATGAAATTTATCGGTGCTTACCCCTTTACAGTGTATACGGTCAAGAAATTTTGTTTAATTACAAGTATAGGCTCTCGGATTTCTGACGCGTGTTTTAAGCTGAGGTGGCCACTATAATGGAGGCACTTTACTAACTACGCATTAGCGTAATACCGATTAGAATGATCAATATTTATTCTAGTGCGATCGGTAAGTATGTTCGAGTTTGTTTCTGGCGACAAGTAGGGCCTAAGAGTTCCAATAACAACCGGTGGTCTAATTTTGAATAAAAAATAGACAAAAACCCCCAAACGCAAAGTTGAAAGGTCCTTCTGGCCGATGCCGGAATGAATGTGGTCAAATTAGCTTCCCAAGATGCACAATCGGCAACTCTCCTGGGCAGGTTACTGTGCAATAGCGAACCCCCAACATCCTCTCCGATCCTTATGGATCGCAGCCTTTTGAGGACGACGAGATGGAATTAGCTCAGTATTTTCTTCTCAGATGCCTTAATATTTCTCGTCTAAGGTTAAAATACTCCGAAGGACCTCACTGAGGTGGACATCAGCTGCCTGCGGAGTCTAAGTGTGTGACTTGCAGGGCTGTCCCCAGCCTATTTAGAGCATTTCGATAAATTACTTATGAAATGCTCCCATTTTGAGCCATTTCCAAGCAAATAATAAATTTTAAGTTGATGTTTAAGAATACTGGTATCCTAACATGGAAATGTGTCGTAGTATTTCACATTAGCTCTCATCCAGTACTCAATGAACTTACAGGTTTTTACACGAACTGGCAGGAAGTTACAAGAAAAATTATCCCGTACTCAAAAATCGTGTAAATGAGATCGATTTTTGGAGAGTTGTGTAGAGAAGTTGCAAGATTTTACGTTTTCTTCTGGTAAAATCATGAAAAGTGTCAAGCGATCGGCTGTTTGACGTTTTTACAGGAAAAATGCGTTTTTTGTTTCCATTCTTTTTCGTTGTTACTCACTATTTACCCTCACTTCAGAGAGCAATTTAGCTGTTTGACATATTTACAGGATTTTTCACGAAAAGTATTGGTTCAGAACTATTACCATTCGAGTACAGTCGTACAACACACGAGTGTTTTTAGTACTTTATTATATTTTATTTAGAAGGAATTTCTTATTGCTATTTAGAATACAGCTTAACGCATTTATTGTTCCGATAGCCAGTTGCAAAGAATCTAAAAAAATCACTATGTCATTATCAGTATATGGTATATACATATTTGTATATGTACGTAAGTATATCTTCACATCGTCAGTTCACGAGTAAATGAGTTGCTTATTTAAAATAAATACCAACAACAACGGTAGACGAATCAGCATTAATAACAGCGAACAGGTATTTAGTTTAAAGCATAAACCTTTTTTCTTCACATTATTATTTCTTCATATTTTGACTTTTTGCACTAAGTCAAAGCTGTGCCCAGACCAGCCAAAAGCCAAAATCCAAAGCGACAGCCACAAAGCCACTGCAAAGTCAAGCTGTGGTTGAAGTCACATGCCGCTCACTGCGACTTAGCTCATTTCCATTCAGTTCCGCTCAGCTGTGTTTCGATGGAGCTTTTGACGTTCGGCGCCCGCTTTTTTCTTGTTTCATTTGTTTTGCGTTTTTTTTTTGTTGGTTTTGTTTTACATTTTTTTACTGTTTTTTTTCTTACTCATTTTTGTTGTGGGGGTTTTCGAAAAACTTTTGAGCGAGCACAACTTACATATCTCAGTTTCGAGCTCAAAGTAAAATTTCAGTTAACTTAAAACAGGCGAGTAAAACGGACGTGTCGGTAACGGAGCGCAAAAAGGATTTTCGAACACATTTTAAGGTCGGTTTAAGAATCTGTGTTATGCGTTTTTTTTTTACAAAACAATTTAACGCAAAATGACGATCGCGTGAAATACGTATGACGGACGCGCGTGACGGCAACAGCGGTAGAAGCAAAACAAAACTAAACAAAAAAAAAAAACAATATTACAATAAGCAACTAAACAATTAAATTAAAAAATTAAAATAAAACAACAACGACAACGGTGTCATAGACGAGGCTTTCAACTAAATAAGGCAAGTGTTCAATGTAGCCAACAGGCAGAGTCACCAAGTCAAAAGATAACTGACGACGCGCCAACATGCTCACTCGTATTGTATGAAAATTCAGAGTGCAAGCTGATGATGTATACTTTAACTGTGTGAATATTTGGTGGAAAATATATTATGTTTTGTGTGCGTGTTTTTATTGTTTTTATTTAATAACAAATGAAAAAATTGGTGGAAAAAAGTTTTAGTTTAAAACCAGTCCCACGAGAAATATGGAAATTCGTTTGTCAAGAAAAATTAAAAATGAGTTAATGAAAAAAGCAGCAAATGCATAATTGAATCAACAAAGAAATATGAGTTAACGAAATAATAAACGAAATGAAGTAAGATAAAAAAAGAGGCGAAACTGCATAATTTTTCAAACTGAGTCGCCTTATTAAAATTCATTGTCAAATTGGAGAATATCAAAATTTGGCAAAAAATTTCTAAATTCAGTGCTTGTTATTCATACATAAGTCTTTAAGTTGTGAGAGTATACATTAGGAACTCACGTTGCGGAAAGAAGATGCGCAGGCGTGTCGCTGTTATGACCTCACATTTATGCATCTGGGTTTTAATGCATAATACGAAAAAAAGTGCAGTAGATGGTGTAATATGATTCAAAATTTTAATATTTTTTTTAATTGTTGAAACTTCTGAACGCAAAAGTGATAACAAAAAAATACAGAGGACCATCAAATTATTGCACTTAAAATACCAAATTATTTATTTTTTTTTACTTTTACCTTATCTAATTAGAGTTCGTTAGATTATATAAAAGAAAAGTTGTGCACCGACCCCATACACGACTCAAGCGAAACTTTTTCTTTCTATTACCCGTATAATATAATAAAAGTAGGAGTGCACGTTACTGCCGAAATTCGACCGCTTTTCTAGATTTTCTTATGACCCTTGGAACTAAAACGTAAGTAAATTTTTTGTATATCTTTGAGGGTATTTGGAGAACTTTGGCAGGACTTGGAATTGACTTGATATATTCCAGTTTGTCGATAAATTTCCATAATTTCATATATATCGATAATTCAATGAATTTCAGAAATATTAAATTCCGAAAACTCAACCAAATTCGGTAACTCTACTAATTGACATATTTCTCGAATAACAGTGCGTTTACAGGACTCGATAAATTTCGATAACTCAAACATGTATGCATCTCGATATAAATCGACAACTCAATAAACTTTGGAAACCTCTATAAATTTCGATAACTCGGTTAATTTTGACAGCTCCACATTTTTCGAAAGCTATCGATAAATTTCGACAACTTGTTACACTCTGGTAACACGATAAAATTCGATAAACATTGATAACTCGATGAACTTATATGAAATTTCCATAACTCGATACATTTTAAAACATTCAAAAACGTCGATTCGATAAATCGAAAAATTTCAGTAAATCAATATCGATAACTCGATATTTTCAAGGAACTCAGTGCATTATGATAAATCGATAAATTTCGTTAACTCTATAAATAATGATAATTCAATTAATATCGATATCTTGATAAATTTTATTAACTTGACAAATTTCGGTAGTTTGATAACTTTCCATAACTAAACTTCTTAAATTTTTAATTGAAATACATTTTTTGACCCTAATTATTATGTATTCTCATTGTTTTCATTTCCGTCTGTAACTTAAATATTTCTTCCACTTTTTTATTTTCATCGTTTTTATCATTAATTTTTTTACCATCGCATTTATCTTTATGACAATGTTTAAATACGTAGTAAAACAAAATGTGAAAAAAATCATATTCAACAGGTTGCAACAACAACTATATACAAATCCGGAAATTTTTAAACGACTATTTTGGCTCCTCATCTAAGGAAAATACTTTTCCAATGGTGTTCTTCGTTTTTAACCGTCAAACGAGCTGTGAAAAAATGTTGTTGTCTAAGTTGGCTCTAAATTTAATCGGATGGTTTTTTTTTGCTCTTGCTGACTCATAGTAAAATCTACTGCTTACCATTTCATAAAAAAATTTTGATGCTCTAACCAGTGTTGCCGCCGCCCAAAGAACTTTCTAACCAAGATTAGACGAAAAAGTTACCAAATGTAAGGAAAAATAACCAATTTTTTATTAGATTAACAATTCAGGTCATCACAAATTCTTTTATACAGTACGTTTAGACAAATTTTACAAACCAAAGAAATCAATTTTTATTTGCATTTTTGAAAAGTAAATCCTTTTAAGGCTGAAAATAAATGAAATACCGAGGGCTTATATTCAATACCCTCTATCTGCAAAAACTCAATTTTTCAGGAGAGCAAAAAAACTGTTTTGGCAGCTGTTTTTAAAAGTGTTAATAATTTTAAGTACACACGCATGTCTTAAATATTCACGCAATATACTAAAACTAGTTTTTTACTTTTAATTCATTTAATTTTAGTTTAAAGATCAGATAGAGGTTATTGCAATTCGAATTATAACTATTTATATAGAAAAATTTGCTGATAGAGGGTTTTGCAGAATAATGAAAATGTCAGTTCTTTAGACGTAAATACTATGTTAAACTAAGATTTTAATGCAGAAATCATAGGAGTGAAAATTCGTTCCCTTCTATTTCGATGTGCCCAGGTAACCACATAATTTTAAATGTGTTTTTGTGTCAAAAGAGTATTTCACGTGATTTCGAAATTATATGAGAATCATTAGCACTGTTAAAAGAGGCTTCGCTGGCTGGTTTACTGTCCGTTCAGATGAGGAAATTTCCTTCGTTTATAGAGGCGAAACGTACAGCTGATTCGGCTGTAAATGCCGAGCAGTACGGGGGAAAAGCACTGAAGACAATTGTAACACCCAGCCCTTTTGTTACCACCATATCTGGAACCGTCTGTGAAAATAAGCTCCCAGGTAATTTATGAGTATCAAACTGGGCAAATGCCCTTGCGGTAGAGTTTTTACTTTAGTAAGCATCGGATGATGTCGAAATCTTTGATGTAGCTTAATATACGAAATAAAGGTGATTGCTTGCTACATCAGTTTTTTTGTTGAAAGCAGGATTCGACGTGAGAGATAGCTTTTATTGGCGAGGTGGGAAATGCACGGATGCTTTTTCTCCTCTGCTACATAGTAAGGTGTTTCTAGCAATTAAGATGTTTTTTTGCGCAGTGTCCATAAATTACGAGCCCAAAGTCAACTTTTACATAATGACAGTTCTGCTTAAAAGTAGGTTTATTGTCAAAAATCATTCCAAATATTTTCAATGTATCAGTATAGGGGAGGGGTGTTAGACAAGGAGAGGGTTGGATGTATGTATTTATTTATATTTTCTGCATATGTGAAAAAATTACTTTGTCAGCTTAAATCTAAGCTCCTGAAGATTTGGACCAATTGATTAGATCGTTTAGTATGTTAGAAAAAATAATTTTTACTTGCGTCAAGTCCTTAGTCTTAGAAAAAATTAAAATATCATTAGCGTATTTAGTTTGGCAATAGGAATAATAATAGCAGTTTCCCACTCTTGATGATATAACCCTTGAAATAAAATGTAGTTATGGAGTTTAATGACTCTATGTTTGATGGGATACGGATGATTTTTTAGAACGGGGTACGGGATTTTGTCTGCACCAGGGCTTTTGCCTGTCATCGAAGAGATGGTTGGTCAAACTCTTAAATAGATATGAGTAAGAGAGAATTGTGGGAATCTTCGGACTAAGTGGAGGCAAATAAACATATACACATCGCTCATTTACTTTAGTAGTGTCATAATCCAAAAAAATACAAATCTTGAGTTGAGTATGCAGAAATTATCGCTACGTCTTCTTCTATTTCGTGTAAAAATATCATAGCTGTATCGATTAAGCCCTGTATGCAGCTCTCAAGAAAACGGTCAAGAAAAAATTGCCATTATTTCGCGTGTGTGTCCAAGGAATTTTGACATTTGACATTGATACTTCACAGCCTGTTGCCTCACTCAAGAAATAATGGAACGGGCATATATTTCTGTTGCAAAACTGGGTTGCCTTATGCTCTTTCATCACAAAAAAAACTTTAGAAAACCGTAGTAGAAAGCGTAGTAAAATTCTTAAGAACTGCATACTGCCTTAAGGAAATTTGACTCAAGAAAATTTCTTAGCCATTTCTTGTACGTCATTTTATATGGAGTTTTTGCTTTTCTTGAGAGCTGCATACAGGCCTTTACCAGAATCTCACTAGAATAAAATATGTATTCATTTTTAGTATCGGCGTATATGTAAATTCAAAACTTTAAAGCCGTCTTTCTCGAGTTTTGATTTTTTGAGTTATGACATTATTGTAGTAAATGAGCGGACATGTCTTTATTTGACCTGCCACAAAAAAATGGTAATGAAAACGATTTTCCAGCAAAATTGTGTAGATAGAGGATTTTGCTTTTGTAACAAAATGTTATTGCAGATAGTGGATTTTTCAAAATGAGAATATAATACCATAAAAGCAAAATTTTAAGTTTGGCATTATTGTCATGGCTGAAGGATAAATAAGAGCTCACGTTACCATCAAAAACTCATTTTCATCAAAATTGTAGATAGAGGGTATTGAATATAAGCCCTCGATACATTCATATATAAGTATATATATATAAATACATATTTTAGAAAATCAGGCTTCCCGTATTAGGTGCATATGTATGTTAATATCTTCGTAAAGATTACCAGACTCTAAATGACGTTTTTAAATAAGTAAATAGGTACACAGTTTCCAACTTCTTTGTAAGAATCAATGAAATACCTAATCAGCGTGAA